AATCAGAACTTATAACTGTTTCAATTAATTTATTAAACTTATTATCTGGTTTTAAATTAGACTATCAAATTGTAGTTAAATGATGAGCATTAAAATAATTTCAAATACTTAATGATCTTATACCTTAACATGTTTCACAAATCGTAAATGATTCTCTGATTCATGAATTCTTTTTCTTACATTAATTAAATGATATGATGATGATGCAAATTCTTCTTTTGCTATTCTTTTGAGGTTTTATTTTCCAACCAGATACCAGAAACAAAAGTGCTTACTTTCTGCCTGAGATAAAATACAAACAGAATCAGTTCTTAATAATAATTATTTTAAATTTTAATAAAAATTTCTATTCTCATTGTATATGGTTCTCTTTAAAATAAATAAATAAATAAAATAAAACAAAAAGTTCTATTGATTAAAAATTTTAAATTAATCATTCATTTGGAATATATAGTAAAGAAAAGATATAGTAATGAGTATGATAACTATTAAGTCTGGTTGCCCAAAACTTTAATAGTATTGATAAGGAGAAGAAATAATAATAGTGGAAATGATAAAGTTTGGTTGACCAAAACTTAATCAATCTAGATAGTAATAACAAAGCTTTGTTGTCTGAAACTTTAACTCAACAAATGGCAAAAAATTAATTATAAGATCTAGTTGTCTGAGATTTATCTGTTTGTTTAATTATTGGTTTAATAAGCTTAATATAGTATTTATCTAATTATTAATATATCTGTTTAGTCTTAAAGTCATTTACTTTCTTTTCTGCATTTTCATAATATTTAATAGCAATATTCTTTGAAAATATCTGATACACAACCTCTTTAAACCAATGTAACATATTCTCTGGTGACAGTATGAGATAAAACAATAATTTTGTAATGATGAATAGATAGATTAAATCGACCAATTATATAATTAAACTATTAACTATATAATCTATTAATTAGCATAGCTATGTATACATAACTATAGCCCCATCAAGCAAAGCCTTAAAGAAAATCTCTCAGGTGCTATTTAGGTCTCTATTAATTTGAAGTCCACATTTATTGCATCTAAACTCTTTATTTTCTTTTAGATTTTTTTTAATATATCTACAACAGCTACATGTCTTACTTGTATATATTTCTGAAACAGATGTTATTACAATTTTGCCAAATTCTTCTATTTTGGATATTAGTCTTTTTTTAAATCTAGTGTATGCCTAACTTATTATTTTCTAAACTGTCTTGCTATTATTTGTATACTATCAAATAATTATATCAAAAGTACGAGTTAACCATAATGCAGCTTTTTTGTATATCTTATCTATCAAATTTTGAATTTATTTTCTTAAACATGCTTGAGCATATTATATAGAATTACACTTGTTTGCTAGTGTTCTAGCAGTACGTAAAATAAAATCATCAAGGGCAAGTCCTAGGCAAAAGATGCAATTAATATCATTATCACCAAAATTTCCTTACCCAATAGTTGGTGAATACCAAGTGAGAAAAGTACAGACTCTAGATCTATAGTTGCTATATAAATATAATCTGCTTGATTTTTGCAAATATCTTTGCTGTAAACTCAGATGAAAGTCTATTGTTTTAATTTTCTATTATATAATAATTTTGAATCTAATATTACTTTTTCCTTTTGATTTGGCTAACTATTATTTTTTTGGCAGTATTTAAGTAAAATGGTAGTTTTATATTATTAGGTTTATACTATGGATACTCAGGATTAGCTTGAATAAGCTTCTTGCTATATAAGAGCCATAAATAAAAATAAAATAGATCACAACAATATTGAGCTCAGATAGATATAGTTTGTTATTTATTCTGCATAAAATAAATATAAATTAAAATACTCAAATATATAGTAATAATAATAATTAGCATAAAAATAGTTATCTTTTTTGAAAGAAAATATAATTTATGAGTTGGCAGTTGATCTTGATTTTGCAACTCATGATTGCATCATATAATTTTATCACGAGCCAAAATTGTACTAGTAATAGAATAATCGAGTACTTTATAGAAAACTTTTTCCATAAAAGTTTATTTTTTTGTTGTTCTAATACGATATTTGAGTAGAATACAAAAAAAGAACTATTTATTCATATAATGGTTGCATTTATAATTGAAAACTACCATATTATAAACAAGCTATGTACAATCTATTTATTGTTTTAATAACTCTTTTTGTACTTTGTTAGAATATATTCGAATTTTAATTGCATATATTAATAGTTCCATTTTTTTCACTTTACTTGTTATGTTGTTTGAATCTTTTTTTGCTTTCTATTATTATTTTTATCCTTATAGTCATTATTGTTATGCTTTAACTATATATTGTAATATAGTAAAATTTTATTAGTATATTTTATATTTTAATAGTTAAATATTATTAGTATATTTTAAATTTTTATAGTTGATTTTTATTTGTTAAAATTTTATTAGTTATATTTATTATATATTTTCTTAAATTTTGTTATATATTTTATATTATTATTATATATTTTATATATTTATTAGTTTATTTATATAGTTTATAATATATTTTATTTATTTTAGTCGCTCATATGATAGTTTAATCCTAACTTTATTAGGATAGTTTTCACAGAGTTCCATTTAAAGCAATAGTTATTTAGATGTTTAAGTTATTAGTTTATTTAGCATAAACAGAACCCAGACCAAGATACACGAGCACAAATGGTGCCCCAGGACAGCCCAGGACGATGTAACAACAACATAAAAAACAAACAAAGCCAAACAAACTCAATTTGGTAAAAGTGCCTATTCCTTAGTAAAAGATGTCTAATCTATTATTTCAATCATTCTAAGGTGCCTATCCACTATCTGGAAGTACTCATCCAATATCAAAAAGTGCTCTTTTGTTAATAAAAAGTACTCTTCCTTAATAAATTACTATGTTTCTATAGTAGTTTAATATTCTGGAAAAAGATATTTAAACTCCTACATTTTCCCTAAGGCACAGAGACAGTTGGTCCATATATTTTGGTCATTATAACTTTATATTTTTGATATTCTGCTTATAATTTTTGTCTTGAGTCTTGGGTTATTCTTATTTTCTTCTTTATATAGTAATATAATCTTTTTTTGTTTTTCTGTTATAATTGTGATATTTTTCTTGGAATTATTATATTTTTCTTGAGTTATAATGTTGTTTTATCTATATTATTCTTTTGAACATTATCTGAGTTAATAAAAATCTGTCTTTGTATAAAATCTGTCGGTTATAACCTTTCTTACTTAAGGTTGTATTGACAATAAGTCGACAATATTTTATTTTATTTTTGAGTTATTTTCTGTTATAAAAATTATACAAACACATTTCTTAACTATTCAAACACTTAGTCAAGTAGTATGACTTGTTAACCAAAGGTCTAACAATGTTACATTACAGTTTGGCGATAATAACAGAACCAGAAACTCCTTGTGTTATTTGTGATTCCAAAGCAATTTTTGTTAAAACCTCTTCTTTTCTTGTTGTTTTCTCTTTATATTCTCCACTTTTTTGTTTTAAAATTATTTTTAAATTAGTTATTTCTCTTTCTTGACAATAATACAAAGTAATAGCTGTATTTGTAAATAGTACTTTGGCAGATACTAGCCTTGTATTATTGGAGTTTAAAAGCTATATATAACCAATTACGACCTGGTTATTAGTACTTCTTTTTCTGGCTATATCTACAGATATTGTTAAGTTTAAGTGACTAATAATCCTTGTACAGGGCAAACAACTTTTGTTATACTCGGCTAATACAGAAAGACCAATAGGTAACATCCCCAAATTGATCTATTGCTTCTTATAGTATCTTAAAGGTTATTGATTTTAAATTCGTTATCTATCTATTAATTTTTTTAAAAAAATCATTTAAAAATCTGTTGTAAAAGTTAATCCTTGCTAGGTTGACAGTGTCCTGATACCTTTCTATTATTTTTTTTCTTCATAATTTAGTCAATACCTAGAAATTTTCTTAAAGCCCCTTATAAATATTGTGAAATTAGTTTCTTATTTGAATATTGTAATAACAAATATCTAACTGACCAAGAAGCAGAACAAATTTATAACAAAGTCAAAACTATTATTCAATTATTACAAACTGGTTCTTCTTTAACTATTGAGAAAACAAGAATTTTATACCTTTATACCAAGCATTGTAGTTTTATCTGAGCTAACAGATATAACCCTAAACCAAAACAACTCTGGAATGAAGGATACCAAATTGAACCAAACTTTGCTGAGCCTGCTTCTTCTGCTACTTACTATTTGGAGTTTTCAAATCTTGACAATTATACTGAGACTATCTATAACATACCATCTCAGCCTCAACCAAATTCTTTCACCTATTTTACTATCCAAAGCATGATCTAAATAACTTGAAGCTATACGAAGAAGAATTAAATAATCAAGTACCCACAAAGGACAGATTAATAATCTATTCAAATTTCATTAAAACAAAGGCTTTTCAGTCTGGCTTTGAACAAATTGTGAATGAATATTGAAACATATAAAAGACAAATTCACAATCACAAGTTTGTTCACCAAACTAATCAGTATATAATTCAAAGAAAAGCAAAAGAAAAACCTGATCCTAGTTGTCTTCTTTGTCATCTTATTGAAATCTATTATACTACTCCTCCATCATTTCTTCGTTTTTGGGAGTGGTTTTCAAGAAAATATAACATGTCTTCTTATAATAATAAAACATTATATCACTTTAATCAAGCTCAAATTATAAGCATATTTGAAGGAGCTCAAAGAAAAGAAAATTTTGAAAAATTAATAACATCTTTCGATATTATAATCATACTTCTAGTAAAGAGTTTGATCAAATAATAACTGAATTAAATTATTATTAAGAAGAAAAAAGAAGTTTTCTTATATCTGCTTCTACATCAGAAGGTAGTCAAAACAATAACAACTCTAACTCAGAGTTTGAACAAGAGTCTGAATCTGAAGCTAAATCTGAATCTGAATCTATAACAATGAGTTACAACAGAAATAGTGAAGGTTTCCAGCCTGAAGATAATGGAGTAGACATAATTGATAATATTGAAAATATTATTATTAATGAAGATAACTTACATAAAGGCACTCGGACAACACTATTAGTATTACAAAGAGAGCCTGAATGAAGAAATGATAATGAAAAACCTACTTCTGCTGAGCTAATAGAACAATTAATTACCGGATTAGAACAGATATTTAACAATAATCATAATAGACCTAAAGAAGCAAAGATTGTAGACTTTCCTACTTTCAAAAGAGGTGAAGAAGATCTTATCACTTGGTTTGAAGCCTTTAATAATGCAGCAACTGCAAACAAAATCAGCAAAGAAAAAAGATTAGAAATAGTAGCTAGCTATTTAAAAGAAACAGCTCTTACTTGGTTTAACTACTATAAAGCAATATTTACTAGTTAGGACAACTATTCTACTGTTAATAATATGTATTACTCCTTTAAATATCAATTTGAAAGACAATTCAGAAGCTCACATCGAATTACTCAATAGTATTATACTTTGAGAAATAGAAAACAAAAACCTGGTGAAACTATTGAATCTTACTTTTCTGCATTAGAAGAGTTATGGCAAAAAGTAGATCCAGATGAAAGATACCCTGATGAAGATAGAAAAAGACAATTTATGGATAGATTACATACTGAATTCCATATTTTTGTTGAATCAGCTATGCTAGAAGATCTATATGATGCTGTTGAAAAGCTAAAGCTATTGAAGTAGCTTATTCAAAAAGCAATACTCTCTCAGCCTACTTATTATTACCTGCTGCACACCAACCACACTTCTATAGTCATACTTTTTCTACTTCTGAAGTAAATATTAAAGCCTTAATTGCTGTACAAACCAAAGAATTCCTAACTGAAACCATTAAACAATTAAAGCCAGTTAATATAAATATTTTTAGACAAGCCAATAATAATAATAACAATAACTAAAACAATCAGAATAATAGTCAAAATACTAGAAACAATCGACCAAACAATAATAATAATTGGCAACAAAATAATAACAGACCTAGAAATAATAACAATAATAATACTTGTTATCATTATCAATGTACAGGTCATATAGCATATGAATATCGAGCTCCTATTTGTAATAATTGTAATCGAATTGGTCATATAGCTAGAAATTGTCAAATAAACCAAAATTAGAGAAACAACAATAACAATTACCAGTCTAACAGTACTTTAATAACAATTATCAAAATCAAAACAACAAACAGACCTCCTAACAATTATATCAATACTCAAAACAATACTGATAACAATTTTGCCAACCAAAGAATGAACTTTTTAAACTAAAAAAAACATCTCCTGAGGGTGAGCATGTTACTAATTTAAAGCCCTTGCTAAAAGAACAATTAAATAATTTGGAAACTGAAATCATGGATTACTATAATAGCCTCTTTGATAACAACAATATAAATAATGGAAACAATATAAATATTGGAATTAATAATATTAATAAAGAAAAGCATATAAATAATATTTGGTTGGAGGATGATAACAATAAATATATTGAGATAAAAGGATTAAATCAAAGCTTAGAACAAGAAGATTTGCCAAAAGAAGTTGTACAAGATGCTCTATTTTCTACTGCTCAAATCTTTGATTATGAAGTTAATATCCTTATTGATACTAGATCAAAAGGATATGTAATTGCTAAACAATTTCTGGATCGAATTGGAAAACAAATTAATGGGCCAAGTAATATTCGAGTTGTAGATATTACTGGTAACTAGTCAACTCCTCTAGAAAAAGTTAAAGATGTTTTTGTTAAAATTGGAGCTAGTGAGATTATTATTAATATGATTGTAACAGAATCACAAGAATACAATGTGGTTCTTGGCAATGAATACTTAGATCAAGTAAAAACAGTAATTGACTATAGACTAGATCTAATGTCAATTAGTGAAGGTGATAATATTGATTATATACCTATCACTTGTTGGGATCAAATAGAAAAACCCACCCAACTATATCTTATTAAACATAAACAATTAGTTAATAAAGACTATAAATTAGAATTAGAAGAAGAAGAAGAAGACTTAAATGATGATAAATATTTTACCATGAAGATCAAGACCAATCAATACTTTTCTCAAGTTGACAATAAAATGATGCCCAATATTAGAATTGAAAATAGCAAAGACAAAAGAACTAAAGAAGTTGATGATCTATTCAAATTAGTCAAGCCAGAAATTGAATCTGAAAACAAACTGCCACTATCCAACAAAGTTAATATTATCAAAGATAAAACTATATTAATAGGATTAAATCTAGATAATGAACAACAAAATATTATATCTAATTTTCTGAAAGAAAATTCTGATATATTTGCTACACAGTTTTCTAAATTAAAACAAACAAATGTAGTTTATTATAATATATATACAGAAAATGAATATCTTATTAAACAAAGAGCATATCGAGCATCTCTAATAGAACAAGACCATATAAAAGAAAAAATTGCTAAAATAGAAAAAGAAGGAATAATTCGTAAATCAAAAAGCCCTTGGAGCTCTCTAGTAGTGCTTGTTAAAAAGAAAAATGGAAAGTTAAGATTTTGTGTAAACTATAGAAAACTAAATTCTATAACAAAGAAAGATACTTATTCTCTACCTCGTATTGATGAAATGTTGAACAATCTTAGAAAAGCAAAATGGTTTACTTCTCTTAACCTAACTTCAGGATATTGGCAAGTTGCACGGGTCAAAATCAAAAATATAAACCAAAAATCTTCAAACAATCATCAGAACGATAGCAGGCCAATAGCTTGTTGGCTGCTATAATATTTAATGATAGTAGAAATAAGCCGATATATTAAAGATAGTCAAAAAATTTGTTATATCTCGGATAATAATTAGTAAAAAATACCAAAATATCATCTAATAAATAATGATATCATAAAAAAGATATTAGACTGATATTTTAACAATATTATAATTATATCTTGAAGATTAGATTAATCATAAAAAGATATACTATTGGCTTGCTAATAAAAATTTTTTAGTCATTTTAAACGATATTTTGTTGATATATATCATAATCTATTAATCATAAAACAAATTCAAAAT